TTCCCATCTGTCGGAACACCAGCTTGGTTCAGGGGTTCCATGTGGTGGTAAAGTCTCTCCTCCAACCCATGCTTCCAAAGAAAAATTCTGCAGCCTCTTGTTGTTCAGTCTCAAGGCAGTTTATTGCAAGCTATCTAAAAGATTGTCTTCTCTGGCTACTGTGGTTTGGTCAGCAGCTCAGGCAGAGGCACACACACCCCTGACACCCTCTCTGTCTGGGGGCTTCTTCTTCTCTCCCTGTCGAGAGTTTAGCTGAAGAATGGCTGCGCAGCAAGAGACACGAAAGGGTTAAGTTGATGAGAGTGTGAGAATACGTGACTTGTAGCATGAAAACTATGCCCTTGAGAAACAGATGTCTCCTAACAACCTTGAGCATACAGGTGTCTCGTTAACAACCAAGATGTAAAATTGCTTAGTATACAGAAAGATAATCAAGTATAAAGAAGCAATAACTGCAAGGCTTATCGCAAAAAGATATATGTGTTAATAGAAAGGTAACCAATCCTGAGCTTCGCTTTTGCAATATGTATGAACTAATTAGTGCTTGTATAAAGAAACTGTAATCGACTCCAATAAACTGAGACTTGTTGATCATGACAGCATGAGACTTGTCTCCCGCGACACTCTCACCAACATCTGGCACCCGAACGGACGGGACCCCCCCGCCTGGATCTGTGAGACGTTGCGTTGGGGTCGGGTCCCGCAGCTAGATGGACGGCGATTAAGCTCCACTACCTGGTGCCGCGCCGAGTGACCGCAACTGCGAGCTCAGCCGATACGTGCTGCTGAAGCCTAGAGGGTCTGCAACAGCGCTGATGTGAGTAATTGACAGGCAAGCAGCATATAACCTTTTCACCTCCTTTCTCAGACGGAGGCAATTTAAAGGGCTTGATTTGGATAGGGATCTCCAGGCTTCCGTGCGACATCTCTTTCATATTCTCTCAAAGAGAGCTGAAAAGGTTAAAGAAGCCGATTTCGAACAGTTGGTTCTGTGGGCAAGAAACAAAAGCAAGCTGCAAAAGCCTTCGCTGATTTTTAGTAAAGTCGAATCGCAAGAGCTGGGACAGCTGCTTTGGGACCCAGTGATAGTGGGCAGAAAAGACAAGAAAATAGTGCTAGAGCTTGGAGGCATTTGGAAAAAAGTTTTACAAACCCTGCAAATCATGTCTGCAGAGAAAAAAGCAGCGGATGTTAACAGCTCGGTGGTTCCGCAGAGTGAGGCAAACTCGGAAGTGGCCCCGTCGGGTCCCTCGGGAGGCGGGGAGACACCTGAGGAGGCAGGCGGAGTTGGTGACGAAACACGGCTGAGTCAGGAGGAGGCGGCCCCGGGGCAGAGCGGACTTCGGCCGAGAGACAGAAGGCTCCTTATTGCTGAGCAACAGCGCGAGGAGGGAGATGGGCGTTCCCGGGGGCTCGGCCGCGCTGGAGTCGGAGCAGGCGGGGTGCGGCCGCATCATAAGTGTCTCCTCTCCCATCCCCACAGTGACGCAGCAAGGACGGGAGCGAGACAGCGCCGCCCCCTCATCTCCCCACAGCACCCAGCAATGGCGGCGGAGACGCTGCACAGCCTGGTTGCCACGGTAACGACAACGCCAAGAGCAGCAGTGTCACCAATGGAGGGATTGCAACACTACAGCAAAAATTTCAACAGCATTTTTCCCATTCCTTGCAAAAGTCAGAAGACGTAATGAAAAAGTATAGCAATACTGAGTGTTTTCCAAGATACCAAGAAGGATAGACATTATGCAAATCAATGTTATTTCAAATACAATATAGATGAAAATCACTGTATAAAGATAGAAATGTTAATAATGATTTAATTGCCAAAAATGTTTCTGAAAACAAAGATTTGAGGAATTTAAGTCAGATGGAATGTTGGCATTGAGTTCACAATTTCTGTTTTTGAGTTTTTATAGATAATAAAATAAATAATAATTGTCAAGTTTTTATAAGTAATGATAAGTAGTGATTGTTACTAATGTTATATGAACACTTTGAAAAAAATGTCTTAAACTATTTTAAACATTTCTTGTTGATAAGCTGATCATATAATGTAAGTTGTCTGATTTTTGTGATAAGAATTATTATTAAAATGTTAAGGTATTAAGGTGTTGTTTTAATATTTACAGTCAGTTTTCATATGTTTTATTGTCTTTTTAAGTGATTAATTGCAAGATGTGTTTTTTCAGGATCCTGTTGTTTTGATTTTTTAACTACTCATGTGATTTCTTTGTCTAATCTTCTATGCAGCTGCAATTCATCTTCTTTTAAAAATTTATTGTCCAAGTTTTAGTTCAAGATTTCAGACTTCAAATTTTCAGATCTCTAAAGAAAAGGTTTGTTGTATTTAGAGAATTTTTGTCTTGAAAGAAATTTTAGACAGGTTCAATTATTTGAAGGTTTGATAAATTTTTAATAATAAGGTTTTCTACTTATAACAGTTATTTCTAAGACTTTCATATTATAATGTGTTAATACATATCCTCCAATTAGGGTTTGAGCTCTGGCCAAGCTCTGGCTCTACGTGGATAGCGTAATTGACCCAAGTGTTTTCTGCATCAAAAAGTATTCAAGTCCTTTTGGCTTAACAATTTGATCCTATAGGGCAGCTGAGCCTCAAAGAGAGTTTTGGAGAGACATGATCAGGACATGTTTTATCCAAATCTCTGTTGTTTTAAGGTTTTTCAGCTGCTGCAGACTCTGGGATGACAATTTGATAGTGTAGCACTTAGTAACTGTGATTTTATATGTAATATTAATTGTGTATTATCTAATTGATTTTTATTTGTTGTTAGTTTCTTTACTATATGCATTGTTTTGTTTTTGATGTTTTTTCATGTTTATAACAAAGATGTTGATATCTCCATTTCTTCATGCAAGTTTTAGGGAACAAAATTGAGAGAAGACCCTCCAGTCCCTGTGGGGGGTGTTAGGTTTGTTTGTGTTTTAACAGGTGCAGAATCTAGATGGATTTCAGTGAAGAATGTGGAACTTATCAATTGCAAGAGGGCACTGATCTCTCCACAAGTGGATCAGAAGATACACAGCAAAAGTGGATTGTGCAAAGATTTGTGTTTCACCCACAGAAGATCGTGGGCTTTGAGGTTTTTTTTTAATATAAGTGTGTTTTTAATGATGTTATAAAATTTTTGCTAAGTTTTAGTAAGTTTTAGTAATGCCTGTGATTTTTCTATTGATTTCGCCATTGTCTTTCAATGGCAAAAGAAAAAGAGGGAGTCCCAATGTGGATCAACAGCAATCCTGCTTAAGTGAGTGTTTTTACCCATCCAACCAAGAAGTCTGGGCAGGACAGATGCTCTTGCTGCATTGATACGAAAAGGCAGAGACAGAATTTTAGAAATGGATGAAAAAGATACCAACCTGCAGTGATAACAACGTCAATGACAACAGTTTGCCTAGAACATCCCGTGATTAATCCAGTTCTAATGAAAATTAATTTTGTAGAGTACAGAGAAATAAGTTAAAATATCATAAGTGTGAAGTTAAATTTATCAGAAGTTATTTTATTAGAAGTTATAGTTTATGTTTAAAATTAAGTTTGTTTCTTTCATGTTAAACAGGGCATTCAAAAACCAAAGAAATATGTAGTGGGCTTCAATGTTTTTATTAAGCAGTATTTTAGTTATTGAAGTATCTGGAATCCTTGACATTGACAAAAACAGAAAATATGCGGATCACTTGGGCCAAACAAACTAGGCAAAATTCATTCTGCCTGTTGTTAGCCACACCGTCTAACTCATTTCGTACTTGTTTAATTGGAGTCTCGTTGGGTCCCATGACAGAGTTCAAAACCTGGACCCGAGCTCAAATGAATTCAAATAGCACAAAGACATGAGTGCGAAAAATTTGAAGACATGTGCTGTATGAATTTGAAAAAATAGTTCAGAATCTATTCATAAGAAAATTCTGCATTTGCAACAACATGTTCAGGTGTTACAGAGGGATGATACATTTTTTAAATTATCATTTAAATCATGGAGAATTACGGGGTGGCTCAAACACCTCTTGCAGCCTATGATAATAGGATTGTTAGTTATGTAATTTTAATGCTTTCATTGCCGTGTGTATTTCAGTACTTGCAAAAGACTTTAATGTCAGTTATAGAACAAAAATGAAACACATCCTTAATTGCTTATAGAAAAAACAGGGGAAATGTCGAGAGTTTAGCTGAAGAATGGCTGCGCAGCAAGAGACACGAAAGGGTTAAGTTGATGAGAGTGTGAGAATACGTGACTTGTAGCATGAAAACTATGCCCTTGAGAAACAGATGTCTCCTAACAACCTTGAGCATACAGGTGTCTCGTTAACAACCAAGATGTAAAATTGCTTAGTATACAGAAAGATAATCAAGTATAAAGAAGCAATAACTGCAAGGCTTATCGCAAAAAGATATATGTGTTAATAGAAAGGTAACCAATCCTGAGCTTCGCTTTTGCAATATATATGAACTCATTAGTGCTTGTATAAAGAAACTGTAATCAACTCCAATAAACTGAGACTTGTTGATCATGACAGCATGAGACTTGTCTCCCGCGACACTCTCACCAACATCTCCCCCCGCCCAGGGCTGCTGCTATCTTTTATATGATACATTACGTGATACATGTTTACAGTTTTTCCCCAATACCTACTACCTATATTAAATGGTGCTTTTCTACTCTAAACCAATCCATAAGTGCCAACATCATCATGAACATGGAGGTAAGAAAGAAGAAAGAGGAGGAACAGGACCGGCCTACATTCCTCCATCTTAAAACTTCTGACCCCCATGTACAAAGTAAACCCCCTCCCGTACAGGTGTTAAAACCCCCTTGTACAATACAAAAAAATTCTTCCCTCTACTTTGTAACTACTTCTACTGTAATATCTAAACTTTTGTGACTCCTTGTTCCACCTTCAAAGTTGGTAAATCATTCCATGGCTCAAACTCAAAATCACAGCTGTTTCCAGCTGCCTGCCAGGGTCTCAAATGCCTCTGACCAGGGCCTGGAACCTCCAGAAATGTCTGAGGGACATTTTGAGTTCCAACACACATCAGCTTTATATCCTAAGCATGATGTTATATGGTATGGAATATCCCTTTGATCAGTTGGTGTCAGATGTCCCACTTGTGTTCCCTCCCAGTTTAACTGTATCCCAGCCAAAACCAGTGCAGTGACACAGATGGCACTTGTGAGATTAAGGCTGAAAGAAAAGGTTCTGTCATAAACACATCTGAGAAAAATTGCATTGTCTGATCATTACAACTTCTCAAATCATAATCATGACAACTTACTTAAACTACATGAGAAAATGTGTACCTTATAAAACTGAGTTAGAGCTCTTTATTTTTCCGCAAAAGAAATCAGAAGTGATATTGGCCAGAGGTTGCTATTGCCAACACAACTGGTGACTAGTCAAAAGTCTTATGAATCCTGTGGTTTAGATGTTGCATTACTGAATGACACATTTATCCAGAGTTGATATAAATCTTAATATAAAAGTGGGGGGCCAGATAAGACTGTGGCATAGTTGTGAGTGTGGCTATTTTACTATATGCAGAAAGAACTAAGTTGATCCTAGGAACAATATATATTAGTATAGATGAAGTGGTACAACCCCCCCTAATGTGAATTCCTCACTAGTGGTATGACTTCATATCAGGATAAAATACTAACCTTTGTAAATGACTTCTATGGTGCTGTTCCTTGGAAAATATTGAAGAGTGTAATATTATGCAAGTGGCAGATCATGTATCACCTATTAAGGGCTAATTCTCAGTTTTATTTAATGAAACCTTTTTCACTGTGTCCTTCAGGACCTTAGCTCTAGCAGAGCTCAACATATTTTCTAACATTTCTATATTATTTTACTATTCTATTGTAAATGAATGCTGATTATTAAATTACTGTTTAAATTATTCATTGCTGTCTGCCACAGGGAAATACAGGCAGGAATGATCAGAATTTGCAATGCTGAGCTGTGTGCAGTGTGTGTGTTTTCCAAAAGCTTGGTAACTTGTATCTTACTAGTGTTAGAATAGATAATTCACTGTTTGAATCCCTTGACATACTTTACTGGCAACTTAATGTGTAAACTTCCTATTTCTCCCTCACATTTTCAGTTGTAAGGTGGCACTGGACGGGTTCATATTCTATTTGTTTTAATTTAGTTTGGTTCTAATCAACAAAACATAAAGGGAGGAAAAATATCTAGTTTTTTAGGCCCTTGGATGTATTGCAGAAAATTGTATATTTTGCATCATCTATCAGTTCATGACAGTTTGTCACACTGTTCCACTGAATTTGATGAATTTTCTTCAGGATGTAACATGCTGCACAGTGTGATGTTGAACAGTGTGCACATGACGTGTGTGTGTAAACTAAAATAACTGTGTCACATGCCATTTTGTTCACATTATTTTTCTTTTTTTTTTTTTTTTACATAGGAAAAGAAATCTAATATATATATCGAGGGGAAAAAAAGATGGATTCACAAGATTGTGTCCCAACAAATTCAAAGCAAGATATGAGCCATCACATAAAGGGTAACTCTGGTAAGCATTATCTTTGTGGCTATTGTGCAGCCTTCACCAATATAGTAGTCACCTTTCCCATCCAGAAGGTCCTCTTTCGACAACAGTTGTATGGCTTGAAAACAAAGGATGCAGTACATCAGCTGCAGAAAGATGGAATTCGAAATCTCTATCGTGGAATCCTTCCTCCATTAATGCAAAAAACAACTACCCTGGCTCTAATGTTTGGCTTGTATGAAGATTTCTCCTCCTTGCTCCATAGTCACACAAATGCACCTGAACTTCTAACTTGCAGCATGGCAGCAGTGCTTGCAGGGACTACAGAAGCCCTTCTTACACCTTTTGAACGAGTCCAGACTTTGCTTCAAGACTACAAACATCATGACAAATTTACAAACACTTACCAGGCTTTCAAGGTACTAAAAGTCTATGGGATTAGAGAATATTATCGGGGTTTGGTGCCTATTCTGCTCCGGAATGGAAGCAGTAATATGCTCTTCTTTGGCCTACGAGGACCTATCAAACAATATCTGCCTGAAGCAACTTCTTATAGCACTCACTTGTTCAATGACTTTATCTGTGGCGGGCTGTTGGGTGCCATGCTGGGATCCTTATTTTTCCCAATGAATGTTGTAAAAACTCGCATGCAGTCTCAAATTGGTGGTGAATTTCAGTCTTTTTCAAAAGTTTTTGTGACAATATGGCTAGAACGTGATAAAAAATTGATGCATCTTTTCAGAGGAGTCCATCTGAATTACCATCGTTCTGTCCTGTCCTGGGGTATAATCAATGCAACATATGAATTCTTGCTAAAGCTATTATAAGAAATGTTACCTTCCTTTGAAATACCTCTATTCACTTGGATATTTGTACATTTTAGGTCACTTTGTCTCTGGAAATAGGTTAATTTATGGAAATTTTTGTGAATAACATGGAGCACCATGAAACTTGGAGAGAATTCAAAGCAGCCATTACATTTCAGTAGGGAGATGGATGATACTGTTAGTGGCTGCTTAGTGTGGAAGGTAATTAGTCTTATGAACAACCTTGAGTATTTATGGGGTAAATGGCAATATGTATAAATCTTGATGCAGCTCGATATACCTCTAACAAGTTAAAATATTTATATGCTGGTGGATAAATTTACCCATAGTGGAATAACTAGACAAATACAAAGTAAAAAAAAAAAAATTGTATATTGGTCTAGTAGCTTATTCTATTATTTCCAATATTTCCCAATACTCACAATAATCAAATTTTATGCTGCACATTGTATAATTTGAAAATAAAGAAGGAGACAATTAAAGCTAATTCTTTTGTTTGAAACACTACAGAGGGGTAAAAACTGAGCTTCCAAATGTCTTGGGGCTATAAATTATCTTTGGAGTTTAAACAGAAGCTGCCAGTTTTTAATTAGGATGACTTTCTTTCTGAACCTCAAGTTTTGAACTGAGCCTACACAAACTATTTTGTCAACCATTTTACCACTCAGCTTAAAGATGAGGATCATCTCATTCATCAATAGCTACTTAATATTAAACTTCAGTGTAAACTGACCAAGTGCAAAGTGAGATTGTGCCTATGTATGAGTGTGCCTTGAAATGGAAAGGTGGAAGGAGCAAGACAGCAATTTTATCCCGAGCTTTAAAAGTGTTTCTTGTTGAAAAACCTATTTGCAAATTTGGTATACTCAAGTTTTCTGCTTTTGTACTGCTTTGTTTCTGTTGCAAACAAAAAACTGATCTCACTCTAATGTTCAAACAGTAATATATCTTCCTTTGATTAGCAAATAATTTGATTTACAGCTTTTTTTTTTCTTGTGCAAACTATTTTTGTTTAATTTGCACTGTGACAGAATTTTATATCAGCACTGACAAAGTGAGATTTCTGGGTATAAGCATTTAAGGCCTTAAAGGGAAAGCAAGCATAACTACCAAACAGGTGACTGTCTTAATTCTTATTTATTTTTTCTTTATTTGGGGGTGTGTTATTCATGAAAAGTTTTTTAAGTATTCTTTGTTTTGGATTTGGGGGCAGGAAAACTTTCAGAAACTATTTTTAATTGTTCTTTTCCTATGTTTTAGGCCCTGTATAACTATCAGTGGTAATACAATAAAACAATAAAAGGAGTTGTGTGGCTAATAAATTATACTTCAAGAATTTGTAATTTGGTTAACAGATAACAATATGCAGTAAAGACAGGGGTGTGGTCACCTGCCATGCATGAAGGTTACTTGCATGTTTCATTCACCAACTGTTATGGTTTGACACTGGCATAATGTCAGCGCCCCCATGAAAATACAACTTCTCAATAGAATGCTGTGAAATGTGATCGGGAACAGAGTAAAGCAGCTTAAGCTTAATAACAATGGGGAAAAGAACTTTATTAAGCTATTACTACTATACTACTATAAAAGAAAAAAAAGAAAGAAAAACACACACAAAATCTAAAATTAAAACCTTTCAAAACATTCCTCCTCCCACCATCTAACTCTAACAAACTACAGTGAGACACATTTGGATTTTTAATTAAGTATTCACCCTTCAATATAATTAAGATTAAGTCTATTAGGGGAGAGAAGAGTCTCCCTTGCACCATAGACTCCTTAGGAAATACAGCTGCTATCTTTTGTGTTTCTATGTCACACATGGCACCACCCGGAGAGAATCTGCCAGTGTGACACTCTCCTCTCCATGTCACAGTGCTCTCACCACCGTGCATGGACAGAGACTGCTTATAGAGCTCCTTTAAAAATGCTTTGCCAAGGACCAACAGGAACAACAGTCTAGCGTCTCAATTTGGGACCACAGTCCCCCCCCATTTTCCTCTGAGGTCGAGGGTCTAAAAACAGAGATCTTCTTCTTCTCTGAAGACAGCAGGCATCATCACGCCTTCCTCAGCTTTTCTTTGTTCACTTTATTATATTAGTAGTTGCTGAAGCAAGTCTTTTGACTCACTATACATCTCCCTAAAATGCAATCTCTGTTACAAGAAAAATTAATTCAGTGTATAGTTAATAAAAAAAGTCTAGCTAAAAGCTACTCTATCATCTCCTCCCAACCCAGGCTGTGTCTCTTTCCTTCAAATTAAAGAAGAGTAATATTTCACAAAGCCTTCATTTCCCAAGAAAGAGTTAAAAGTCTCAGACTCCCCAGACAGCTAAAAACTCAGTCCAAGACTCCGTTCAGTCTCCCACACTAAGCATCTTCCCCCCCCCCCCCCCCTTCTCCTTCTCCTCTACCAACAAACTTCAAGTGCCTTCAGGCTCTCTGTCACTTTCCCTCTAAGTTGGGCGGGGATGGGGGGGGGGGGGGGGAACAAAGACATCTCAGACTTCCTCCACCCTTCTGTCCACAAGAGCTAACCCAACTCAGTTCCAAATCCTTCACCCCCTAGCCTACCTCCCCGGGCCCGCATGGCTTCCCCTCCCCACCCAGCTCGTTGCTGAGCAGGGGAGGTCTGCACTCTCCGATGACCGGAACCAAAGAAAGCAAGTTTTCCTGGGAATTCTGCTTTTAACCCCTCTGTGTTCTCAGAGGCATGTCCACCCTCAATTAGTCACTTGGAGTGTCAATATCCAAACCTAACCCCTGACTAAACTAACCTCTTCCTGCCGAAAAAAAAATTTTTCTGTGTCAAACCACAACACCAACAAAGAGAAAGGTGTAAAAGGGTATTAGCAAACATAAACATTACTCTAATTGAATCCTGGAGTGAGGAAGAAAACAACCAAAGAAGCCATCAACATGAGCATCATATTGCTCCTGGCCATGGAGAGCAGTGAAAGAACAAGCATAACACCAGGGAAAGGAACAGAAACTAAGAAGGGTGGGAGTGGGGGTGTGGAGGGTGTGTGTGTTGCAATTAGAAATACATGATTCTTTCTTTTCATGTAACAATTAGATCCAGATTAATAATGATTCGACTCTCAAGTTTTTAATTACACTAACAATACATTTCTGGCTTTACTTATGCATATCAATGCCTTAAAGAACCTAGAAATGAAACAACACACTTTCAAAATAATATTAGTATAGGAGATAATATAAAAGTTGGTCTTTATTGGAGGCCTCCAGGGACAGATATGGAAAATGTCCACAAAATGCCCACCCCCACATAGGGTGAATACAGTTTTATAACTTTAGCAAATTAGCATAATTGACAAAAATCACCAATTAGAGACATAAGTGGTTAGGCAATTTTCCCCCGGTTCAAGTCCCTCCTAAATCCTCCCCACTCAGATGAGAAATAAACTTTGTTTATGAAAATGTGTCTCAAAGACCTGGTCTCAACCTTGGTTCCCAGGAAGAACCAAGATAGGACTGGGGCCTATGTGATTTGTCTTTCTGCCTATAAGGGTTGGAGAAAGTACTGGGGCTATCTAGGAACTATATAACTACACAACAATAGAGCTAGAATATATGTGTAAAGAATATAGAGAATATATAAGCAAAAATCATTCTGGCAGCATTTTCCCCTTTAGTCTTGTCTAGTCTCTACTCTTAACATTCAATCACAGCATCGTATCATACAGCCAGCTATTATGCAAAGATTAACTACAGATATAAGTAGTATGAACAGTTCCTTTTATCCAGGCCCAGTTCAGTAACCATGAAGTGAGTGTATGGAAGGTATATTCAAAGTTCAATGAGCCTTTTGAAAGTTACCTGATGTAGAATTGGAGTTTGCTTCCAAACTTCAACCAAATCTTTATTAATTCTTTGACTCTTATCTGCATAAGAACAACTAGTGTTAATGATTGTGCAGAGAGTAGGAAATTGAGAGCCATTCTATTTTGTAAAATTATACCATATAAATAATGGATTTCTTCTTGTAAGTCTAAAATTGCATCTGAAATTTGCTTTTCAATATGTTCAATAATCCTCAATATGATAAAATATTATTATGTCTGAAACTACAGCCCCAAGGGCACAGGCCCAATCTTTATCTAGGGACAAAACTTGCCAGGCCTCATGTTCACATATCCAATACCATCTTGGCATGTCATTCTTATGAAGAGGTTTTGGATACATTTTGGACTAAAGCCACATGCAAATGTTGGGGCCAAACATGAATCATGGTTGCCAACTGTGCAGATAACAGGCACAAAAAGAACAATTTAAATCACATTATCCCAAATTGTCTCAGTTTCTGTTTTCCAGTTGTTTCAGGAGCAGAGGTCTTCTTAACTATGGAGCAGTGAATTCAGGGTTCTCTGCCAGCAACTTCAGTTTTGGTAAAGGTAATCAAGACTTGGAATGGTCCTCTCCACTGTTCTTTGTTTGGTTTGATGCCTATATAACTTAGGTCAAAGTTACAAGGTGCTTATATAGCTTGAGTTATAAGATATCTATATAATTTGATGCCTACATAACCTGAATCATACCTTTTTACACCTATATATACCTGATATAAATAACTTTTTATACAATCTAATGGCTACTATATGGTTAACTAGTTGCTTAATGCTGAATAGACAAAAAAACAAGAAAAACAACTCGCCAGGTGGATAGCTTCAGAGATCGATAAGTATGGTACTAATGAAAAATTGTCAAGTGCAAAGCCAATTAGCCACAAAATAAAGAATTTAGATTGGTTAGGACCAGACAGACCAAGGAACACTGTAACTGCACATCCTCTGAAGACAGAATTGAAAAGTTCAAACATGAAGAAGATCTTGGAAGCTTTCATCAAAGACCCCAAATGACCCCCAAATTGGGGAGGTGCAAATGCAATGCAAAAGAACTATCTAATAACCATGAGATCATACTACGTAAATTAGTTTCGGCATGTATATGATAATGTTATAGTGACATAGTAACACTAAGCAATACTTACTTTATAAATATACCACAGCACTTGACAAAGGTGGGTGAGTTAGGTGGAACTATCTCCCTGTGAAAAACAAGTTTCACTCTTTAGAAATTTTTTATTTAAAAGTTTAATAACGGATAAAAAGGATAAAATTCAGCGATGGGGTGCTTGGCTATCTGCCAAAAGCACACTGTTAGCTTAAAACAATGTCCTCAATATACTGTTACATTACAGAGTGCACATGCATATTCATAAGAGTTTATACATATTCAAACATTCTTGTGAGCTTAGGTGTTCCATGAATTTTTCTTGGTTTTAACCTTTGACTCGTCTGCATGCCATCTTTCAGAGTAAATCAATATATTTTATTTCTTCTCATGGTTTCATCCAGTTGTTTTTACACTCCCTGATAACAAGGAGTCATTAAATTGGGTTCTGGTTTTTGTCACCGTGATATTATCACTCAGATAGTCTACAAATGCAAGGAACTACTTAATTATCTTCTTAATTATCTTACACCAGTCTCTGAGTTAGTAATGAAGTTGTTATAGGTAATAAACATAATTTGCGACATTCCTTGTATGGAATATATAATGTTAAATACTTGTTAGATTATACCTCGTTTGTACTAGCCTCCCCCCCCCCCCCCCCCCCCCCTCTTTCTCCCCTCCGAGACCGGGTGTAGACTGGAAACTAATTTACAAGTAAGAAGATACAGCTCGCCAGGAGATGGGCCATGTCTGGAAAGCTGCGGGAGACCCCAGGCGCTGATCATCGTGTGAACGACCCGAGATGGCTATCTTGGAAATCCCTGGACAGATACATGTGAATGCAGCGTTCCCGTAAATTTCATCACGAAATTCAACAACTCCGGACACTGAATAATTCTCCCTCATCACCAAAAAAGAAAATCTTATTAACATATGGACTCTAAATAGAAGAAAGGACTGATTGCAAAAATCTTGGCCTCAGGCAGAATTTTCCCTATAAAACTCACTTGTGCCAGGATGGAGGTGTGTGGGCATAGGGGAAAACCTCTACTGAGGCTGACTCCTAGTTGCACACCCAGGGCTGACCCCAGGCTCGGCACTGGTTTTTTTTTCTGTGTCTGGCTACATAGAATTTGACCGCGAATAAAACTGTTTTGGTTTTTTTTTTTGATTTGGCTGAATAAATTCTCATTTATAACAAAGTGATTTGTGGAATAAATAGAGTCCACAACCTGATGTAGTTATGAAGTGGGTATGTATGTCAGTACCCAGCACAAGGGAGATAGCTCTCCAAAAACTTGTGCCCGGAGCCTCGGTCTGACCCACATCTTTATTCACAAA